CGTTATTCAAATCAATGGCATTCACTTTGATATCTCTGAGACTGACATCCGATCCGTCAAACAATCGGTGCTTTTCTGTGGCAAACGTTGGGATGTTTTGCACCGAAAGGTAGAGTCGGAACCAAAAGCGGGTCCAATTGTCTTCTAATAACTGTTTAACCAATTGGTTGCCAAAGAGTGGGCACTCATTCTTGTGATACTTCCAGTCATTCTTCTGACACTCTTTACAGCAGTAATACATGTAAAGACATTTCGTACATCTCTTCAACTGATCCGAGCGTTTCACACAATTATCACAATAATTGCCTTTGAATTCTGTGTATATGTGATGAATGAGTGGTATGTCTTCAGTGATCACATCTCCCGGTGATAACGGTTTCGACAGTTTTGTCGGTATTTCTGGCCATTAATTACATTTAAAAACACGTGTTTTTATGAATTTTGCAAAACTTACCACTGATTTGATGATTGGATTCGTTTTTGTGATAATAATAAAGTAAAGGATGTAATTAATGATCGGACTTATGATATGAATGAGTTGTGACTAAAGTGTGGATCAATTGATGGACTGATCTGTGGATTAATGTATGAAAAGTGAGACCAAGTGTTGACTCAAAGCAATCATCACTTGATTTGTGTCCAAAACCTATGGCTTATTATTGGCTTAAATTGAGCGCAAATTTCAAACAAATCAAAATTTTAATAAATAGTTAATTGAATTACAATTTTTAAAATATACGTAAACTTTAATATTTATATCAATGAAACAAAATAATCACGACTTGAATTGAAGACAAGGCAAACATTTAGTGAATGAAATACAATAATCAAAGTTTTGTTATTGAAAATAGCGTACAATTGGACACAATTAAGACATAATGAGTGAAACCAAAACCTATGGCTTATTATTGGCTTAAATTGAGCGCAAATTTCAAACAAATCAAAATTTTAATAAATAGTTAATTGAATTACAATTTTTAAAATATACGTAAACTTTAATATTTATATCAATGAATCAAAATGTAATGAAACAAAATAATCACGACTTGAATTGAAGACAAGGCAAACATTTAGTGAATGAAATACAATAATCAAAGTTTTGTTATTGAAAATAGCGTACAATTGGACACAATTAAGACATAATGAGTGAACACAAACTTAAGAGTAATTTAAAACAAACTTACAATCGTTAGATATATTAGAGATATTTTAGTAAAACAAATGTTTAATTTTAAATGATTTAGACATCAAATCAATAATTGAGTTACAATTGAGTACACCTTATAATATGTGTGAAGTGAGCCCTGAAGGGACAGTCGGCCCCAAAAGTCACGTCAAATGCTTTCAATAAATTGAGTTTAGTTTTATTGAAAACCGATTCAGTAATCGGCGGACAATCGGACAGTTTCTCGAGTAAACACATCATTACTAAAGTCTTGTATGGATTGTATTCACCGAACACTACATTCAATTCGATGAACACTTCCCGCAAATAAGACCTAAAATCAGAGCCATCTTTGAATATATGGTTCGGGAAGAAGTTTGCGGTCGTAATCCTCTGGTAATCGACCCGACGGTCCAAATGGTGGACACATTTGGCGCACTCGCAAACTATTGACCACTGTTTTAGATCGTTGTGTCGGTCCTCACGGTTTTGATCCAATGGTACGCGACTTATGGTAATCTCTTGGTTGGCGGCGATCGGTCTCATTGCCCGCAATTGTATCGATAGGCCTATGAGTGGAAGTGATTGGAAATGATTATTGAAATTATGGACTCAATAAATATCTAACCTCTTGTGTTGAATATGAAGGCACTGTTGGGTTGACAGCTGTGGCCGAGGGTTAAGTACTGGGCGTATATCCCGTGACCAATGATTTTGATTTCTAACTCGTTTAATGGATCACCTCCGGTGATGTCAGCCGTGGGAACAGTTAAGAGCAATGACAAACATTGGAGAACTTGGTTGCGATCGTAAATCGTATCCAATCCCTCGAAGAAATTGCAAACCGATTGGATTTGACGCCATCTCTCGCTGTCCGTCATATCAATGGTAGAGACAGTCATATCATTGAGACTGACATCCGATCCGTCAAACAATCGGTGCTTTTCTGTGGCAAACGTTGGGATGTTTTGCACCGAAAGGTAGAGTCGGAGCCAAAGTCGGAGCCAATTATCGGATTTGAGTTTCAATAATAACTCGTGCCGAAGGAGTGGACACTCATTCTTGTGATACTTCCAGTCATTCTTCTGACACTCTTTACCGCAATAATGCATTTGAAGACATTTCGCGCATCTCTTCAATTGATCCGATCGTTTCATACAATTGTCACAATACATGTCTTTGTATTCATAATACAATATATGGATGAGTGGTATGTCTTGAGTGATCACATCTCCCGGTGATAACGGTTTCGACAGTTTTGGTGACATTTCTGGCCATAGATTTCATAACAAATAAAAAACACGTTTTAATGCAAATTATTTCACTTACCACTGATTGTATGATTGGATCCAATTGTGTGACAAAGTCTTGTGTTGGAAGCGATGGACTAATGGTATGAAAGAGTTGTCCGTAAAGTGTGTCTCAGTTTATGGACTGATCTGTGGATTAATGCGTCAAAAGTGAGACCAAGTGTTGACTCAAAGCAATCATCACTTGATTTGTGTCCAAAACCTATGGCTTATTATTCGCTATAATTTGAGCGCAAATTTCAAACAATTTTTAATCATTTTTTATATGAATTTTATTTAAGTATTGAATTTTTTAATTGACAAAAAGTATACAAATGTGTTAATTATAGTTAAAACTAATTAATGATTACAGATATAAGAGATTCATAGCATTACATAATAATTATATTTTGATTTGAAAGAAAATTAATGTTTAAAAATATGTTGAAAAACATAATCACGATTTGAATTCACTTATTATTAAATAATTATTTGTTTTTTAAACAAAATTGAATAAAAGTTAGAGTAAAACACAATTAAATGACAAATTGGATGAAAATTAATTATCAACTAATATAATAGCATTCAATACAGAATACGGCATAAAAATAATAATTATGTATTAAATGGCAGACAATTAACCAGTAGTTGACAATAACTTATGGATGAAAAGATTCCTAAAGGGATTGTCGGCCAGAAGTGTCACATCAATTGCTTTCATGATTTTGACTTTCATTTCATTCATAACAGGTTCGGGAATTAGCGGACAATCCATTATTTTGGTGATGATTACCATCAGAAACATAGTCTTCTGTGGATGGTATTCACCGAACACCACATCCAATTCGGTCAACACTTCCCGCAAATAATCCATTAATTGAGTGCCAAATGTGAAGACATTGAGTGGAAACAGATTTGTCAGTTGAAGACGTGTGTAATCGATGTGACGATCCAAATGGTGGACACATTTGTCGCACTCGCAGTCTATTGACCAGAATTTCAGTGCCTGTTGTCTGTCGTCACGGTTTAGATTCAATGATACAATATTTATGGTAATGTCTTCGCCAACAGCTATTGGTCTCATTGCTCGCAATTGTGTCGACAGTCCTATCAATAATTGGTTACAAATGCTTACAATTGTATTGAAATTATAATAAAATCAATTCATATGAAGTAACAAACCTTTACCGACAATGAGAGCGCTGTTGGGTTGACAGCTGTGGCCGAGCAGTGAGTATTGGATGTATAGACCCCTACCGATAGGGTCCAGCGTTTCAGGGATTTCTTGTTCATTAGATTTGATGGTAATTAGAGGAATGGTATACAAGAATGACAACCAATGGAGTACTTCTTGTCGGTCGTAATCAAAGTCAATATATTGTAAAAGATTGCAAAAATTAAAGAAATGAAGAATTTTCTTGTTGTCGTTGACACCACTGGTATTCACTTTGATATCTCTGAGACTGACATCCGATCCGTCAAACAATCGGTACTTTTTTGTGGCAAACGTTGGGATGTTTTGCACCGAAAGGTAGAGTCGGAGCCAAATTCGCATCCAATTATCTGTCGATAAGACTTGTGTCAAATCACGCAAATAGAGTGGACACTCATTCTTGTGATACTTCCAGTCATTCTTCTGACACTCTTTACTAGTGATATTAAAAAAGGAGTTTATAAAAATAAATGCCTTGTCGGGAGCATTCCCAGTGGGAATATTCCCGATAAACTCCCTCAAAACTGGTACCAATAGATGGCAGCACCACTTAAGTGTATAACAACTTGTTGTCGTTGACACCACTGGTATTCACTTTGATATCTCTGAGACTGACATCCGATCCGTCAAACAATCGGTACTTTTTTGTGGCAAACGTTGGGATGTTTTGCACCGAAAGGTAGAGTCGGAGCAAAATTCGCATCCAATTATCTGTCGATAAGACTTGTGTCAAATCACGTAAATAGATTGGGCACTCATTCTTGTGATACTTCCAGTCATTCTTCTGACACTCTTTACCGCAATAATACATTTGAAGACATTTCGTACATCTCTTCAACTGATCCGAGCGTTTGAAACAATTATCACAATATTTGCCTTTGGATTCGCTGTGTAATGCATGAATGATAGGCATGTCTTGAGTTATCACATCTCCCGGTGATAACGGTTTCGACAGTTTTGGTGACATTTCTGGCCATAGATTTCATATCAAATTAAAAACACGTGTTTTTAATAAATTTTGCTAAACTTACCACAGATTTGATGATTGCATCCAATTGTGTGACAAAATTTTGAGTTGGAAGCGATGGACTAATGGTATGAAAGAGTTGTCCGTAAAGTGTGTCTCAGTTTATGGACTGATCTGTAGATTAATGTCTGAAAAGTGAGACCAAGTGTTGACTCAAACCAATCATCACATGATTTGTGTCCCAAACCTATGGCTTATTATTGGCTATAATTTGAGCGCAAAATTCAAAAATATACAATTTTATTGAATTTCAATTATTTATTAATTACCATTAAATGAATACAAATTAATGATTACATGACATAATAATTGTGTAATAATTGTAAATTTTGTCATATTTTAAGATAAAATCACTGAATTTTTAAATTGTTAAAAACAGGAAATCAAAGCAAATGTAATTTTGACTACAATTTAGCCAAAGTTGTACTTTCAATGAATTGAGCCCTAAAGGGACAGTCGGACAGAAATGTCACATCAATTGCTTTCAATAAATAGGCTTTTATTTCATCGAGAATTGATTGAGTAATCATTGGACAGCCGGATAAGAGTCTAATTAATAACATCATGTGTGAAGTCTTGTCGGGATGATAGTCACCGTAAACCACATCCAAATCGGCCAACAATTGGCGCAAATAAACCATAAAATCAAAGCCATCAGCGATTGTATGGATTGGGAAAAATTTTGAAGTTTGAAGTCTTTCATAATCGACCCGACGGTCCAAATGGTGGACACATTTGTCGCACTCACACACTATTGAATACAGTTTGAGTTCCCATTGTCTGTACGCGCGGTCGCGACTCAACGGTACGCGACTTATGGTAATCTCTTCGCCGGCGGCTATCGGTCTCATTGCCCGCAATTGTACAGATTGTCCTATCATTGAGTAATTGGGTAATCATTAGTAAAATTATAGACTCAAACAATAACTAATAACCTCTTGTGTTGAATATGAAGGCACTGTTGGGTTGACAGCTGTGGCCGAGGGTTAGGTACTGGGCATAGAATCCACGGGCGATGTCTTTAAGGATTAACTCTTTAAAGATTAACTCTGGATTACCAGCCATTATGTGAGTCGTGGTTACGGTTATAAACCACGACAACCAATGGAGTACTTCTTTGGGATCATAAGTCATATCCAATGCATTCAATTCACTGTAAACCGATTGCACGTTATTTCGCATCTCTTTGTCCGTCAGATCAATGTCTCGGACTTTGATATCTCTGAGACTGACTTCCGATCCGTCAAACAATCGGTACTTTTCTGTGGCAAACGTTGGGATGTTTTGCACCGAAAGGTAGAGTCGGAGCCAGAATTGGAGACAATCATCGGATCTAAGTTTCTGTGACATCGGATGTCTATAGAGTGGACACTCATTCTTGTGATACTTCCAGTCATTCCTCTGACACTCTTTACCGCAATAATACATTTGAAGACATTTCGTACATCTCTTCAACTGATCCGATCTTCGACAGCAATTGTCACAATAATTGCTTTTATATTCACTGTTTATGATATGAATGATAGGCATGTCTTGAGTGATCACATCTCCCGGTGATAACGGTTTCGACAGTTTTGATGACATTTCTGGCCATAGATTTCACACCAATTGAAAAACACGTGTTTTTAAAAACTTTTGCAAAACTTACCACAGATTTGATCCAATTATGTGACAAAAGTGGTTGTAATTTCTGAACAAATCTTTTGTTGAGACTAAGATTGAGTGGTGACTAAAGTGTGGATCAATTGATGGACTGATCTGTGGATTAATGCGTCAAAAGTGAGACCAAGTGTTGACTCAAAGCAATCATCACTTGATTTGTGTCCAAAACCTATGGCTTATTATTCGCTATAATTTGAGCGCAATTTTCAAAAATTTTAATCATTTTTTATATAAATCTCATTTAAGTATTGAATTTATTAATTGACAAAAAAGTATACAAAACTATTAATTATTGAAAATAATAATTAATTATTACAGATAAGAGATTCATAGCATTACATAATAATTATACAGTATTTTGATTTGAGAGTTAAATCAATGTTTAAAAATGTGTTGAAAAACATAATCACGACTTGAATTCACTTATTATTAAAAAAAATTTGTTGTTTAAAAAATTGAATAAAAGTTAGAGTAAAACACAATGAAATGACAAATTGAATGAAAATTAAATAATAAAATAGCATTCAATACAGAATACGGCATAAAAATTACTAATTATGTATTAAATTATTGACAATTTAATACAGTTGTAGAGAATCCTAAAGGGATTGTCGTCCTCAAGAGTCACATCAATTGCTTTCATTGTTTTGGCTTTCATTTCATTCATAAAGGGTTCGGGAATTAGCGGACAATTGGCTAATTTGATACCGATTTCCATCAGAAGATTAGTCTTATGCGGATGGTATTCGCCGTACACCACATCCAATTCGGTCAACACTTCCCGTAAATAATCCATTAATTGAGTGCCAAATGTGAAGACATTGAGTGGAAACAGATGTGAGGGTAGAAGTCGTGTGTAATCGATGTTTCGATCCAAATGGTGGACACATTTGTCGCACTCGCAGTCAATTGACCAGAATTTCAGCGCCTGTTGTCTGTCCTCACGGTTTTGATTCAATTTTACGAGACTTATGGTAATCTCTTCGCCGACAGCTATTGGTCTCATTGCTCGCAATTGTGTCGACAGTCCTATCAATCAATGGTTACATATTTTTACAATTGTATTGAAATTATAATAAAATCAATTCATATGAAGTAACAAACCTTTACCGACAATGAGAGCGCTGTTGGGTTGACAGCTGTGGCCGAGCAGTGAGTATTGCATGTATAGACCACAACCGATAGATTTGGGCGTTTCCAGGATTTCTTTGTCACGAGATGTGATGGAAATCAGAGGAATGGTATACATGAATGACAACCAATGGAGTACTTCTTGTCGGTCGTAATCAAAGTCAATGTCTTTAAAAATATTGCAAATGTTTAAGAAGTGAAGCATTTTGTCGTTCACACGACTGGCATTCACTTCGATGTCTCTGAGACTGACATCCGATCCGTCAAACAATCGGTACTTTTTTGTGGCAAACGTTGGGATGTTTTGCACCGAAAGGTAGAGTCGGAGCCAAATTCGCATCCAATTATCTGTCGATAAGATTGATGTCAAGTCACGCAAATAGAGTGGACACTCATTCTTGTGATACTTCCAGTCATTCTTCTGACACTCTTTACCGCAATAATACATGTGAAGACATTTCGTACATCTCTTCAACTGATCCGAGCGTTTGAAACAATTGTCGCAATATTTGCCTTTGGATTCACTGTCTAATGCATGAATGATAGGCATGTCTTGAGTGATCACATCTCCCGGTGATAACAGTTTCGACAGTTTTGGTGACATTTCTGGCCATAGATTTTATTATAATTTATAAATAAAAAACACGTGTTTTTAATTATATTTCAATTACTTACCACTGATTGTATGATTGGATCCAATTGTGTGACAAAGTCTTGTGTTGGAAGCGATGGACTAATGGTATGAATGAGTTGTGACTAAAGTTTGGATCAATTGATGAACTGATCTGTGGATTAATGCGTCAAAAGTGAGACCAAGTGTTGACTCAAAGCAATCATCACTTGATTTGTGTGCAAAACCTTTGGCTTATTATTGGCTATAATTTGAGCGCAAATTTCAAAAATATGATATTTTTACACTTTATTAATACAGTGTATCACCGGTTATAAGAGTAATCATTGGTACCACAAAAATTTTAATATTTTTTATCATTTTAATTTAGAAAATACAATGAATTTCAAGTATTAAAAGTACAGCAAAATTAATGATTATTAAATTACACGTTAAATACAGTAATTTGTTGCCAGAAAAACAATTCAGTGATTAATAAATTTAAAAATATTTTAATTAAATATTTATTGAACGCATAAATCTTACAAAATTTAACACATAATTTATGCCAATAATTAAACGAATAAAAAGCTGATAAAATCACTAAAAAATGATTACAAGTAATTAAACACTAATTTTGTGGTCATTTTCTCACTTCATTAAAGCGCTGTCTTCAGGAAGTGTCACATCAATTGCTTTCATTAAAATAGCCTTAAATTCATTCAAAACCGATTCGGAAATTACCGGACAATTGCATAATTGCCTAAAGATTTCCATTAATACCATTGTCTTCATCGGATAGTATTCGCCAAAAACTACATCCAAATCAGTCAACAGATTAGCCATTAATTGTGTGTCGAAGACATTGATTGGGAATTGTTTTGATGGAATCAGACGCTCGTAATCGACCCGACGGTCCAAATGGTGGACACATTTGTCGCACTCGCAGACCATTGAATACGATTTGAGCGCCTGTTGTCTGTCCGCACGGTTTCGATACAATGGCACCACATTTATGGTGATCTCTTCGTTGGCCTCTATTGGTCTCATTGCCCGCAATTCCTTCGACAGTCCTATCATTGAGTGATTGGATAACCATTAAAGTGATTGTAAAACAAATATGGTTTCCATACCTCTGCTGTTGTAAATGAAGGCACTGTTGGGCTGACAGCTGTGCCGAAGAGTGGTGTATCCCATGTATAGTCCGCGACCAATACAACCGATCTTTAGGTGTGATTTGAGCTGAAATGCGGGAACATTTGCCACGAATGCCAACCAATGGACCACTTCTTGAAAGTCGTATTTCACACCCAATTGTATGAATAGATTGCAAATCTCCCACAAATGCTCTCTCTTTTCATTCACATCAAAGACATTGACATTCACTTCGATGTCTCTGAGACTAACATCCGATCCGTCAAACAATCGGTACTTTTCTGTGGCAAATGTTGGGATCAATTGCACCGATTGGTAGAGTCGGAGCAAATACCGGAACCCGGAGTCCAAAAAGGTTTGAATGGATTCATGTCTATAGAGTTTGCACTCATTCTTGTGATACTTCCAGTCATTCTTCTGACACTCTTTACTGCAGTAATACATACGAAGACATTTCGAGCACTTCTTCAACTGATCCGATCGTTTCATACAATTATCGCAATACTTGTCTTTGTATTCGTCGTGTATTACATGAATGAGTGGTATGTCTTCGGTTATCACATCTCCCGGTGATAACGGTTTCGACAGTTTTGGTGACATTTCTGGCCATAGATTTCATAACAAATGAAAAACACGTGTTTTTTAAAACTTTGCAAAACTTACCACTGATTTGTGTAATTGGATCCGATTGTGTGATAATATCTGAAGTTTTCGATGAATGATGTAATGAATGGTTGGACTTATCATATAAGTTGTGACTAAAGTATGGATCAGTTGATGGACTGATATATCAGTCCAGATATCTGTCGATTAATGCGTGAAAAATGAGATAAAGTATTGAATGTAAACAAAGTTCACATGTCTTGTGTCCAAAAATATATGGATTATTATTATTGGCTATAATTTGAGCGCAAATTTCAAACAAATATAAATTTTGTAATATTTTTAATTGAAATAAATATTTGTGATTATATTTACTTAATTTATAAATTGACTACAAATTAAATGTTAATAATGATTACATGAATAAATTAATAGACAATATTACAATTGAATGAATATATTTTATACCATGACCATTTTATTGCACAAACTATTAAATTTTTAATATGCATTTTTTAATTAATTTTTATTAAAATACTTTACATTAATATTTCTTAAATATAAATAATTAAAAATATTTAAATTTATAAATAGATAAAAGTGCTCAAAAATTTAGTGCAGTCAACAAATTGTATTGAATATTTAATCTAGATTGAAATATGATAATATGAAACTTTTTTTTATTATAAGAAAACTTTTTTTAACAAAAATAATTGAATAATAATAATAATCATAAACTAAATAACAATAAGAAAAATATGATTACATTATATGTTATGTAATATATTAGAGCATAAAATCATGTGTTTATCGATTGAATTGTTAATAAAATTGATGGAAAATGGGATTCACTTCTCATCAGAAAAACAAAATATAATCACAAAAAATACATGAGATTTATATCTAAACTGAATAGAAATCATTGCTTTCTATTGTTTGTGAACAACAATAATACAACTGTTGTATAAAATCTCACGGATTTATCATTTAATTTGAAAATATGAGAGAGAGAGAGAGAGAGAGAGAGAGAGAGAGANAATGTCTTTGATGTGAATGAAAAGAGAGAGAGAGAGAGAGAGAGAGAGAGAGAGAGAGATTGTTAAAGAGAATGTATGGATGTTTTCAACGCCTTTCTATCACAGCTTGAGATGTAATGAAAAGTTTTTGTATTAATTCACATATTTTTACAATACTTTTACACTTTAAACATATTATATCCGAAAAATTTGCTCCGATTTTTGAGTATATTTTATATCAAATTCCACCCGAAATTTGGTCTCAAAAAAGTTTTTGTAAAGTTTTACTATAAATTCAATGTAAAACTCATTTTTATGGCGATATTATTGTTATTAACAGGCCATTCCAAAATAGAGAGGGGGATTTTATTACTTGAACGTGGTTATTGTTTGATCTTGGTATTATTCTATATATTACTCACAATAAATGTGACTAACAAGGCATTCAGAAATAAATGTCCATAATGGCCATAACTTAAAAACGAATAAAGTTAATTTGATTCTGTCTTCGGATTATAATAATACCATCCCATGTCCACATCTCACATAAATTTTATCAGGATTGATTAACATTAAGACTATTTATTTTTAATAAAACTGACAAAAAAA